AATATGATGTACAGTAAAACAATTCTCTAATTGCAAAGAATGTCAGTCCTTCACTTGTTTTCCATAATTAACCCTTTACCAAATATATCTACGCAAGTTTCTTGGTTAGAGCAAACAAAGATAAAGGGAATTCATGTCCACATGGTATCATAGATAAAGAAAAAGCAAGCAAATCAATAATCAGGAAGCTCGACATTATCTTTCAACTGTTTCTGAGCAATCAAACAAACTACTTAAACAATTTCAACACAAGTCATTTTGGACTATAGACATTTAAATTCAATCTAAATATTTATTTCCCACATGAGCAGTGCTAGGGACACTCGCCTTTTGCACTCTCCAGCCAACACTTCCCCTTTCATTGGGCAATGTAAGCTTGTTTCTGGCTTTGTAGTGCAACCTCTTTCGAACCAGAACAACGTGCCCCAATAAAAATGAAAGTGTTGGCCGGAGAGTGCAGGAGGCGAGTGCCCCAAGCACTCCTCTTCCACATATGTAACTTTGAGACTTGAAAATCAAGCAAAATCCTCGCTTTTTATCAGAAACCAAACAATCAGAAAACAAAAATGAAACCAGTAATAGAAAAGGTGATCATGCACAGCCTAATGGAATCGTATAGAAACAGAGAGAGAGAGAGGCGGCGGTACCATGGTTGACGGAGAGGAGAGAGCAAGCGTGGCTGCGGTTGGCTGCGCGAAACCCTTTGTCGTTGATGGATTAGACTGGAGAAAACGAATTTTGCAGCTGGGTTCAATGGGTTTTTGAGTTTTACCAAAATCAATTACAAATTTTGGAGATCTGCAGGGAGGGAAGCTCAGAAATTAAGGATGGAAAATGGGGAATCTGTGGAGGGGAGTATGATTTTAGCAGAAATGAAGCTCGAAATTAGAGAGGGAAGCTCAGAAATTACTTGGGTTAGTCTACCGGGAAGGGAAGCTCAGAAATTAGGGAGGGAAGCTCGGAAATTAGGGAGGGAAATTGGGTACGCTGGCGGTGGGAAGCAAAAATAAAGAGGGAAATTGGGGACTCTGTGGTGGGAAAGCTAAAAGAAAGCGGTTAAGGAATAGGAATATATTATACAGACAAAGCAGTAATCCGTTTGTAAAGATGTATTTATACAAACATATAATAATTGCCGTTGGAATAGATACA